TGTGTATATACAGAAGTGCATATTACCATATTTACTCGATTCCAACATGAAGTTTTTTCTTATTTAACATAGGGAAGGAAAAGTCCCTCATCTTTTAATCAAGTAAAAGGCAGAAGTGGGGCAGGCAGCTGCTGTAGCTCCAGCTCTCACCCCAGCCCCCAGGTTGGAGCCACAGCAACACCTGTTGCTTGGCTCCCTGCCGCCATCTGCATCTTCTGCCTCTCCCCATTACAGCCTCAGATCCCTGCCCTCTCTTCCCTCTTACCCCCATTACCCTCCTTCATCCATCTTCCCAACCCCACCTCACCCACGCCACTTACTCTTGCCCTGGCACCAGAAGCCTCTGTCACTGCTCCAGCCTGGGGTACGGAGCCTGGTCCTATAACAATGATGCTGGCTCTATCCTGCTGCTATGGGTCTGAGCTGGGGCTGTGCTTTGTGCCCCAGGCTGGAATGGGGACAGAACCTGCTGCTGCTAGAGCAAGGGTAAATGTTGGGTGGTTTGGGGCAGGTGAGATATATAGGCTTCAAGGAAGAGGATGTGGTGGGAGAAAAGGGCCTGAGACTATGATGGGTATAGGCAGGGATCAGAGGCTACAGGAGTGGGGCAGTCACAGCAGGGGTGGGCAGGGCAGGCAACAGGAAGAGAACTGCCTCCTCCCATCCCTCCACTGCTTTGCTTGCTCCCACTGCCCCACTACTGCCTGTCAGCTCCTGTTCTTCCCGCAGCCTGTTCTCTTAATGCCTCCCCCTATGCCTAACTCCTGCTGCTGCTCCCCTACCACTGCTTTCCCTGCTGAAGTGGTGGGGACAAATTTTAAGATCATCCTCCAATAATTAGATTCTGCATGTGGAAAATTATAACAAATTTTATAAATTTTCCATGTATAGAATATGATTATTTGGGGGTTGTCTTAAATTCAGGGTCATCTTGGATGCAGGTAAATACAGTGTATATAGCCTACACTAACTTTTTTAATGAAACCAGTTTGATTATTGGTATTACAGCAAAAAAATTGTACTTATGTTTTATGAACACCTAGCAACTGCTCCAAATATTGATATTTTTATCACAACAAAAAGCCTGTGGAAATTAGCAGATATTAAAACCAACAGTGCTACATACATAATTAATAGGGTTTTATAGAATTAATATTATTCTTAATTAATTCTTCTACATGGTAGATAAAATTTTTTTAGCATTTTTACTATGAACCAGCACAGCTTCCATCATTCCTTCCCCCTGATATGCAAGTCAGGTGATGCCTATTGCATTATTTTTGCATATCTAGCATCGTATTTTTTATCCTCAGATCATATGTGTGGATGGGCAGGAATCCCAAAATGGCTTGAAGCAGAAGGCATTGTGTTCCCAACAATATTCTTTTATTATTTCTTGTATTTTGATCTAGAAGGAATATGTGCCTGGAAATGACCACACATTTGTAATGCATTGTCCATCTGTATTTCAAAATGTAATCAGGGTGCTGAATTCTTCTGCTGAATCCCCATCGAGATGGAGACATTAGTACTTCTGGCTGCAAAATGAGCTGTTTGTCCATCTAATTCCTTAATGAATCTATAATAGATTAATGGAAGATAAATATTGGACGCCTAACCACATTGCCATGGCATTGTTGACACTGAAACTTAAAAAACCCAGAGATCAGGCCCTCAAACAAATTTAGATTGGTTTAAAAATGACAAGACTTAAAAGTGCACTAAATTTGAAATTTTTTTTATTTGGCTTCTCATTTTGAGCCTTCAGGGTATACGTTTTTCTGAGTTTTTCTACTATGGTTTTGAAATTTATTCTGTTTTTGAATGCAGGTGGAGATTCTTACATAATAACAAGACTCAGCAAGATTATTCCAAAGCTCAATAATAAAAAATAGCACGGTATGTTGTTAATATTAATGTGGCAGGACACTTTATGTGCCCGTCACTTTAAGCAGTTAGGCAGCCTGTTGAACCACCGGCCAGTGGGGGTCAGGGCTAATTGCAGAGCCAGCTGACCCAGGGGGGCAGCAGTTGTGGCTAGGCCTGTTCAAAGGAGTCACCTGATTGGAGGAGGGCTGGGTTTAGACAGGGTATAAGGCTAGACCCTGAGAGCAGGCTGCCAGTAACATCTTGGGAGCTGGTATAGGAGCATCACCAAGCAGGAAGGCTGCCACTCCTGAATGCCAACAAGGAGAAGGACATCCAGATGTTTGGGCAGGAATTAAGGGGATGGAGGAGGTTCCTGGGGACCCAGTGTGGGGTCCACAGCCCAGAGATAAGGGCTGAGTACCTGGGGTCTATTGAGTGGCTAGATGAACCCAGAGAGAGAGGGGCTGAGTGCACAGGGGGTATAGTGAGAGATTATGCAAGCCCTGAGGGAGGGGCTGATAGGCCAATGCTTGAAACAGACCACAGTGGAGATTGCCAGAGCTGGGTGGGCTTGGAGTTCTCTGCTGGCCTCAGGCCAGTAGAGGTGAGGCCATGGCCAAAGGTCCGTGGGGGTCCATAGCTGAGAGAGGAAAGGGTTTAAGAGGGGTGCAGCCCAGGATGACGATGGCCAGTGGGTCCAAGAGTGAATTGGGATCAGAGATGGAGGACTTAGAGGAGAGATGGAGCCAGGGGGCCCAGTGGCTAGCAACCCAGGAGAGGTGTCGGACATCTGGTGGGGGCAGAGAGGGGTGAGCAAGATCAGAGAGGTGTGAAGACTGGTCTCGGGTAAGACCTGAAACTGCACTCTACTAGGAGCTGGTTAGCATGGTGGGGCTACCTGTGGCGAAGCAGCCTCCATGAAATGCCATGCCTGGGCCACTCCAAGGAAAGGCAAGGATGGGACGCTGGAAAGCTTAAGCCCCCACTGCCTTGTGGATGACACCATGGAGGGGTAATGCTAGGGAAGCACACCCCAACAGAAAAGCACTTGACAGGGAAGATCAGTATCGTGGATCCAGAGGCCCAGTGAGGGACCAGGGAAGATCAGGATCATGTGGGATCAGAGGCCTAATGAGGGACCAAGGAAGACCAGGATCATGTGAGTCCAGCGGCCCAGCGAGGAGCCAGGGAATAGAGGGTAGGACCAGAGGGGTCTAAGGCCTGGTGTTCTGAGGCCCAGCGAGAGGCCTCAGGCCTATTGTGAGGCCCAGGGAGTAGGGTGGGACCAGTGTGGGTCCAGGAATAGAGTGCAGGGCTGGATGGCTGTGAGGGACAAGGGACCAAAGAGGAGCTGAGAGCCCAGAGAAGAGCTGGGAGAAAGACCGAGGGGCTTAGTAGCCCAAGAAATGGTTGGATAAGACTGAAGGGCCTGAGGGCCCAGAAAGGGGCTGGAGAGGAGGCTGAGGGGTCTGGCAACTGGAGTGGGGTTGAGAGGCCAAGGGGTTGGAAGGCCCAGCGAAGGGCTGTGTCAGCAGTTGGTTGAACATCTGTGAGGATGCCATCTATGAGGCATAGGACATGGTGTAGGGAAGGTATGGAACCATGCATTTGGCCCACAAGTCCATGACCCCAATTTGGGTGGTCATTAGAGTAAGACCAGGGCAGCCTCCCATGCTCTTATCATTATATTTCCATCAAGTCGTGGCAGACGAGATAGGAAGATGTCCTAGGGGCAGAGTGGGAATGGTTGTGGAACCACCAGGGGGCATCATGGCATGGTAAAATGGAGATAATACTTGTGCAATAAGGCCCTGGTGGTGCAGTCTGATCTGTACATGCTGGCCTGTATGGAATCTCATGCATTTTAATGGGAATGCAGGCTCATGTCTGGTTCTTGTGGATCTGATTGAAGAAAATGAGTGACACTTGCAGAACATCAACTGCTGAGAGGGTTCATAAAGCTGTACTTCCTTCCTAGCCAAAGAGGCTAGGAATGTCTGTCTAAACTAGGCTTACTGAAGGCCTGAAAGAAGGTGGAGGCACTTGACTTTGGGATTTTTTGTCTATTGCCGCTCTTGAGAAGATTGAGGTGGACTTCAGTCCCTCTTTCTCCCATTTTCAGTGTGTGTGCAGTTTAGCTGCATTTTCTATCTCAGGGCTATTTAATGAGGATATTTAATATTTATAAAGTGTTTTTAAGAGGAGAATCACTGTTTTGTGCAAGTCCCAAAGTTGGTTTTTGTTCTGTGATGAAAATTCTTCAGAATATTGGGTCCTGCACTGTGGGATGCTGGATGCCTTTAATCCTCTTTGGTTTTTAATAGAATAATTAATACAAAATCACACTACAGCAAGTGTGAAGGGCAGGTAACATTGCAGGATCAGGCCTACTGCTTGGTATTAAAAAATGACAGGTAAATTTTCTTGCTTTAGCATTACTTTTGCTGGAAAAAACTTTTTGCCTTTCCCTTTAGGCTAATACAGACAGTCAAAAAGCCTGAGACTGAATTGATTCAATCTGTGCAGGTTAGTCTAAGCTGTATAGATTGAACTGATAAGCAAGTGAACAGACATTCACTTTTGATTTGGGAAATGCAGCCACATGTCTGCAATGGCTCGGGGTGCTAGAGCGCATCTCCTTGCTTGACCGAAGCAGAAAGGCATGGCCCAAGCCTCTCTCCTTGGGCCAAGGCTAGCCCACCCATCCTGTAAGTGGGGAGTTGTGGGGGAGGTGCAAAGCAACCTGGGATGCTGGGGTACTGTATGTTATCTTGAATCTGGAGAGGATCTGGGACAGAAGTTCAATGAACTGATTTAATCCAGATCAGTTAAGTCTGATACTACACCCATCCATGTTTATTGTAAACCGTTTTTGGCCATTTTGAAAGTGGTTTATGTGCATTGAACTTCCGTTGCGTTACAGATCTGAACTGATTTCTGATCCCTTATACTTGTTTATGTGTAATTTCTGTCCCTAAACTTAGAGACAGGTTGCTGCTGTTTGGTAGTTACCTTGAAATTAGAATATTGCTTTTGTTATTTGGATAATTGCACCATTTTATTCTGATTAAATAGAAGCTGAAGGGCTTTTTGTGTATGTTTTTTGTTTCTTTACTTGCTTCTTTTCTTAGAACTATTTTGATGGAAAACTTTCCCCTCAAGGGAAAATGCCCTGGATTGAATACAACCACAAAAAAGTATCTGGCACTGAGTTCATTATTGACTTCTTGGAAGAGAAACTTGGAGTGAATTTAAATAAAAACCTTGGTCCACATGAAAGAGCTGTTTCTAGAGCAGTGACAAAAATGGTGGAGGAGCACTTCTATTGGTAAGCTTGCATGATAAAGCTAATTCTATTCTAATGCTACTAAACCTGCAGCTGCTCTTTTTGCCTGGAAACAAATGTCTATATGGTCTTTCAAAAAAAATCAGAACCTACGTGTAGATCCCACATTCCTTTTTATTTCTGAGAATTGGTGCCCGTCTCTGCTCCTGCTGTTGGTGCTGTAGCGGAGTAAAATGACTGTAATGAAGATTCAGACACAGTCCTTTCTCTGCAACTTTATAAAAGCCAGTAATGAAGTGATTTTTGCAGTTCTTTCACACATAAACTTTCTTGGCAGTCTTATCCAACCTATTGCTCAGTCTAGTTAATAAGAGACTAGAATATGAGATTGCCAAAAATGAGAAGAAAAATCTATTACTTAGTATGGTATAGTAATGGAATATTTTGAATTAATTCTAAGCTATATATATTTGCATGGTCACCTTCCTTCAGTACAGTTTAGTTGGTCATGTTTCATTGTTATGCTGTTAGTACTCATAACGGGTTTTGCTAATACATTGTTAGTAGTCACTATAACAGAAAGAGGTAGTTGAGCATCCAGGTGAAGAATAAAATTGATGGAGTTAGCAAATACAAGTTTTAATATTAGTAAGCTACATGTTTTATTAACACATTTAAAAATAATTTCTGTATTTGCTTTCCCTTATTTTTCCATTTATTTTTCAGTCATTTTTTCCAAATTAGAATAAAAGGAAGTAAAGAAAGAAAAGAATTATTGGATCATCCAGTCTCTTTCCGTGTAAATAAATGGATTGTTCCTTGCAATACATTTTCTAGCCTGGATTCATTTTGTTGAATTCGCTTTTGTGTTTTAATATTTTTCATGATGGCATACATGAAAATGAGTTGACCTTGGTTGTCTGTGTACCTCCTAGAGTGGAGATGAGTGGCATCTCAGGTACACAAGTTTTTACATTTCCTCTCCTGTTTTATCCATTGCATGCTACAGAACTGTTCTACAGTGATTTTGATTTATTTCTATGTGGATGAACTTTAATATCAAAATAATCAGATTTAAATTGTGGCATTTGGAACACAAAAGCTGTTTCTAAATGTATTGTCGACAAATAGTATCTGCAGTTGATCCAATAAAAGATGTCACCTCCAAAATCACCTTGCCATCTGAGGATGGTGTTTCCTCAGAACTATGTGCATCGTTGTCAGGCTTCTGTAGCTGCAAAGGCCTTGATCCAACTCTGCCTTTAGAAGATAAGTAGCACTTATACAGCTGAAATGAGCTATGTTAGGGGTATTTCTGGCCATTTAGGTGTATTTTGGATCCTCCTTTCCCTCAGGAATGTATATAAATCACAACAATAACAAAAATGAGGAGGAGGGCTCCTACCCTGGGGGTCCTTAAGAGGAGGCTAGACGTCTACCTGCCTGGGGTCATTTGAGCCTGGTTTTCTCTCCTGCCCAGGGCAGGGAGTCTGACTTGAAGATCTACAAGGTCCCTTCTGACCCTACTTCTATGAATCTGAGGGGGAGGGCAGGCTTTTCACCTTTTAGCTTAGGAGATGGGGTACGGATTGCAGGTTATATTCATCCAGAGGATGTTTAGAGCGTATGGTTTCCACTACTAGCAAAGTGCTCCATTCCGTAGGTCCTCTCTTTTTCTTCTGTTGGAGCTGGACCATTAGGAGTCAAGAGGGTGAAATACATGGGGCAGAAGGGGAACAGCCATACAGGTGTGGCTTAGTGAAATAAGACCTGTCCTGGAAGGCAGGATGCCCTGGGCTCTGGCTCCTGCTCCTTCCCCCAAAGGCATTTTTTCATTTAGTAGTCATTGTATAAAATTGGTAGATAGGAGTGGGATAGCTTCTGCATGGCCTTCAGCCAGCTTCAACAGGACATGGGAAAGATGTTCCTGGCTCTGTTTTGTTCATGGCCTGGTGGCTTGTGCACTTCCCTGGGAAGTTGGAGATGTAGGTTCAAACACTGCCTAGGTGAGGCTGACCTAAAATCTAAGTCTCCCAGTCCCTGGCAAGTACCCTAACCACTAGCCTATTGGGCCTTCTTACTGTAGCATCAGTCAGTTGCTGGTTGTGGTTTTTTGTGATTTAACATTTTTTCACAGAGTTTATGTGCCTTCCCGGCTAAGATAGTGACCACAGTGCAGTTGGGTTTGACATTCATGTAGGAGAGGAGACTGGAAGAAAATCTACCACAGTAGCTTTTAACTTTAAAAATGGAGACTGTACCAAAATGAGGAAGCTAGTTAGAAGTTAAAAGGGTCCCCAGAGGAGGTAAAGAACTTGCAAGCAGCATGGGAACTGCTTAAGAACACCATATTGGAGGCACGAAGCAAATGCATACTGCAAATAAAAAAAAAAAAAGGAAAGTGGACCAAAAGAAAGCCAGCATGGTTTAATGGCAGAGTTGCAGAAGCAATAAGTAGAAAGAAGGCTTCTTTCAAAAAGTGGAAGTCAAACACTAATGAGGAAAATAAAATGGAGCATTACCTCTGGAAGATCAAATGTAAAACTGTAATAAGACAAGCTAAGAAAGAATTTGAGGGGAAATTTTCTAGAGATGCAAAAGACAACAACAAAAATGTCTTTAAGTAGCTTAGAAGCCAGAGACCTGCTAGAAAGTCAGTTGGGCCTCTGGATGATCAGGATGTAAAAGGAGTGCTAAAGGATGACAGGGCCATTGCTGAGAAACTAAATGCCTTCTTTGCATCTGTCTTCACTGTGGAAGATAGGGAAATTCTGACACCAGATCCATTTCTCTCCAGGGACAGGTCAGTGGAGCTGACACAAATTTATGTTTCATTTGCTGAGGTCATAGCGGAAATCGATAAACTAAACAGTAGCACATCACCAAGACCCAATGACGTTCACCTTAGAATCATGAAGGAGCTCAGATTGGAAATTGCCAAACTCCTAACTATAGTATGCAACCCATCACAAAAAACAGCTTTGGTGCCAGAGGACTGGAGGGTTGCTGATGTGACTCCAGTATTTTAAAAAACACTCTAAAGGGGGGCCTGGGGAACTACAGGCTGGGTGAACCTAAATTGTGTTCCTGGAAAACTGGTAGAAACAATAATAATATAAAAAAGAATTGTTCAGCACATGAATGAATATGACCTGCTGGGGTGGAATCAACATGGCTTTGAAAGGGAAATCATGTCTTAGCAACTTACTAGAGTTCTCTAAGGGTGTCAGTAAGCAGGTCAATTGAGGTGATCCAGTTGACATAGTATATTTAGGCTTCCAAGAAGCCTTTGACAAAGTCCCTCCACAAAGGCTCTTAACTAAGTTAGGCAGTCGCAGGATCACAGGTAATGTCAACTCGTGGATTAGAAACTGGCTCAAAGATCTTTCTGTTTTGTATAACGTCAGATGTATCATCATTCAATGTGCAGATTCTATCTGCCCTGTCTGGGCATTTTTAAAGATTGCGGTATTTGATTAAGTGCCGTGCTGTTGGCTGGACACTAAGTTCACACAGGGGGCTGTCCAAGATGTTCATTTTGTAGAGTGTTATTTTGAAGCATCTCTATACGGATTTCAGTCTGTTCAGCTTGACCCATGCTTCTCTGTCAAAGGTGTGCCCAAGGGGAGACTTGTTTGATGTTGGTATAAAATACTGTAAGAATAGGTCTGATCTTTCCCAGCAGTCAGCCCACTCTATTGCTGCCCACAGGTTTGGTTCAGCATCCTCAATCTCTTTCAGGAGCTTATGGGCTTCATGTATTAACAGTTTATGACTTTTAAGCCTCTTAATCCTTCATATCTTTGGGTCTTCAGTTAAGCCAACTAAAT